GTGTATTGGGAAGCCAAGACGTAGACGCACTGAGACCAATCCTATTTTCATAACTACATTGTAGACGATGGCCTCTATGTGGTTCACTCCATATCGGCTCTCTAGTGTAGACAAATATATTTGTAGTATGTTAGCTAATTTTGTTTTTCAGATTTTAAAATTATTTTAGATTAGTTGTGATACTGTATGTTTCTTACGTTGGACTTTACTCAAGCATTGTTTTTGTGTACGTTCCAAATAAAATATCCTATTCTATCTATGTTTATTTTCCACCGGGTTTCTATCCTATAGTGCAACAACATTTCTGTTTGTATGGTGCGAGATGCTGAATTGTTATGAGTTACGGACGTCAATGAAATGACCACGCCCATAGTTTAGAAACCACACCCACTTTTGCAAAACCACGGCCACTTGATGTTTAATTAATGGTTAAACACGGTTAGTTAACACATGGAGCTAACATAGCATGGTTAACATAACATCGAGTTACGCGAATATTGATTTTTTTTGTTTTGTGTAATGTAGTATGTTTGGCGCAACTCGAAGTTCGGTTAACTAAATTTGAATAAAAAACTTCAGTGCAAACCAAAATCCAGCCGTGGAAATGCGGGTGAATCAGCTTGGGGAGAAATATGGTTCTGGCAAGGCTTGTCAGTACAGACCTTGGCTCTCCCTTGAACGATATTACTAGTAATTATTATTGTAATATATACGGGTATGCGAGACACAAACTTTTGGTGAAATTACGGTTCGCAAAATTGCATAGTTAATACATAGTTTATTGTCAACTGAACATACAACAAACACACATACACTAGTTCAAAATATGACATAAGAGGCCCATTGCCCAATATAAAACATAATTTATAGACCCCTTGGATTTTTGCCTCACAAATCCGTTGGTAAGTTCCTACTAGTGATACTCCAGATCTGTAAATAACGGAAGGTGACAAGCCCAGTGATTATATTACCAAAGAAGTGACACAGCACACCGATCATCGCTCAAGATGATCATACAAAAAGAACTCGCCTGCGACGTCAATATTGCGTTCATTCTAAAAAATCATGATACTACGTGACTATGGCGAGGAGAGGTAGTAAAAGCTAAAGTTAAGGTAGTAGTAAAGTAGTATATACTCTTCCGAACACGCTTGGACACAATTACTACCATTGAGTACACTACCAAAAGTATGTTTTATCTGCGACCAATAATTCATAAATTGAATTAAACACCGACACTGAGGTTATTAAGTTTAAAATAAGATTGTCCGTCATTAGGTCAAAGTTGGCAAATCTGAGTGTCCGACATTCATATAATCCAAACAAAAACAAAAGACATTCCATTCATCTTTGTAAATATTTATAAATTCAAACTGGAACGAGATGTTTCTTTGGTCGATGCATAACATTGAAATGTTGATTGGTAAGTTGAATCAGCTATCATTGAAATTTATAAATATTTATAAAGATGAAGAGATGCCTCTGTTTCACCAAGAATAAAACTCAATAGTTGAACACATTTTTAAATATTTTTCTAAAATAAGATTCACACGCTTTACTCTATTCGAAACTCGTTTGCCTCATTCACAATGGATTTGCCAGTGTGTCTCTGGCGATTTGCTGTTGAAATTGTGGATGAATAGATTTCTAAGATCGTGGTATCCATTGAAGGTGATAAAAATGGGTTTCGTCTCCCACTTACTAGTAGTTTTGGTTACACATGTCACACATTCTGTCCTTCTTGCGTAGAGCTCAACTTCAATTTCAAGACTGTAGTCACAAAGTCGAAATTTAGGAAGGCAAAGCCGTAATTCTGTATTTTTTTAGTTTCCTAAGATAGACTTCAAAAATAAAATTTAAATGTTATATAGGTTCTGAATTTGTTTTTTTCTGTTGTCGTTGAAAATTCCAGTATTCAATGTAAAATAACAGATTGAGAACAATTTGGATTTGAGTATAGTAATTTGAGATGGATCCATTTTATTTGTTGAAAAAATTAGATTGCTATGATCGGCCCGGGTGTTATTTCGCAAAAAGGTTACTTTCAGGTTTTATTTGCTGTTAAATGCTTTAATAACCTTTTAGTGTCAGGATGAATTTCGGTTCGGATTTTAGGTGGTGTGATTTCAGTCCAGAAATGCAACGGCTTAGTTTTGGAATTGTGGAATTGCAATCACTGGCTTCTATCAAATTACGTAACAGTTAGCTTCATACAGCAGATGACATACTAATTTTATCAAAATGCGAAATAGGTTTACAAACCTATTTAGACAAACTTGCTGTACACACCTCAAATGATATTAAATGTATAAATGTACTGAAAGAAAGGTGGTCGACGCGCAGCGTGTTCGAATTTCATGTAAACAATGTATTCTATGAGCGTTGTATACATCGCCATCTCCCTTTAACACTAAATACTGAGAGAAAACAATATCCCCCCCCCATACTGTGGCATTGGACAAATTAAATACATGGTGACAATAAGGGAAATGTAACGGAAAATAAACTGAGACCTTATTAACTCTTTAAAACAAGTTTTAGATTATTACTTGACATACATTGAACTCCAGGAATTACTTGTGTGTGTTACGTTATGACGTCATTCATTTAACTTTACACCTACCAAGTGACGACCCTCACTATTTTCATAATTTATATTAATATTTTATCAAATTTAAATCAAGTTTGCGTAGCTTAAGTTCAGTAAAGGGGGAAGGTATGGTACAATTTATATTAATATTAATAATTCCATACCTACACCCTTTACTAAACCTAAGATTCGCAAACATTTCTACGTTAAGTCACAGGATATTCAACTTTTATTTAATTAAACTTGAATTCAAACGCAATTCTACGTTTTATTGCATTGTAATCGAGTTTAGTTAAACTCCAATTAAAACACAGCCCTATATAGAAACGCGTTTTAATTGAGTTCATATCGCAATTATATTAAAAGTTAATTTAACTATATTAAAAGTTAATGCAATGTGTGTCGATTCCCAGTAAAAATTCCCAGTAAAAAAGTATGTTTTTTCTGTAATACAAATCAAATAGGAGATGAACAAAGTTATCGAACACATTTCAATAATATATACTGCCTCCTCGTGGTAGTATTATTACTCATGTCCCCACGTGCATCTAAATGGTTCTAAGTTAAATTTCGTTAGTGAGTATTTATACCTTTCCCGGCGCCATCTCGATTTGAGCCTATGTACACAAAGTTGTTTTCCGTCATCAACACCACAGCGAGGCTCTTGGTTGGGCGAGCAATTTTAGTTGTAGAGGGCGCACATACATTGGAGAAAGCATGTAACACACAAACTACAATCATGGCGGACGAAGATGATATAGATAAGTAAGTTCACGATTGTTTTCATTTTGTGTTGTCTATTCTTGTGGAAGAACGCGACTTAATCGTAAGAAGTGTTTATAACAGTATATAGTACACGTTAGTAGGGAATGGTTGATGAGTGTGTAGATTTTGTATGCTGAATCGCTGTTTCACGGCACAAACGTTCTTATGTCGTTGTTTAACGTTAATAACACCAATGTCCTTATGGATCATTCCAGTTTGTATCGACACCCCTTACATGGATGGTCATAGTAAAAAAATGTAGCCCTTGGATTAGTTTTTGATAACTCCTCCCTGGAAATATACAACAGTGTTTCAGCCCCCCCCCCCAGTCCTCACGTGAATGATTATTCCCTTCAAATCTACCCAATGGAATCAACAGTCTAAAATCTACCCCTTGGATTTAACATTAACTGATTAACTCTTCGGGAAATGTGTAGTATGGTGCAGTGACCCCCCCCCCCGAAGGGAGGTCCAGAACAGAAAAAAAGTTGCGGATACAAACTGCAATAACCCAACTCTTCATCACCCTGGGGAATTCATTTACGGTGACCCCTCCTCCCAGAACAGAAAAAGTACATTATTTTATATTCTTCGGAATGACCCTATACAACAAAGCACACCCCAGTGACTTGATTTCCAGTCAGCATGCCGCTTTGATTGTACTGTAATTTTAGTGGTATTTGTTCAGAACGTATGTTAGTTTGGATAAGGAGGTTTTCTATAAAACTTTTTAAAGACACAATTGTCAAGTTTTTAGCATACGTAGTTTAGGCAACACAACACTAACAATATTTTCAGTATTTGACGAGTTGATAAATACAGGATCACATATGTTCTAGAAGAGTGCAAATACAATGAATGTTTTATGTATGATAAATTTAACATTATATTTATATTGTATTTACAGTTTTGATGATGATCTGGATGATGTAGTTGATGACGATGAGGCTGGTCTTGATGATCTTGACAACCCAGATGTAGGTTTTCATTAGTATATAAAATTTAATCTTTTTGAATGATATATACATTTTTATACCAAAGTTATTTTTTGTTATACTTTTAGACCATAATCAAAATGAACATAATAACCTATTAATGACAAAATAAGTTATTTTTTAGAAATGCATGCATGCTTATATAAAATGAATAAAGTTGGTGTATTCATCATTATTGTCATCCTTGATAATTTCAAATTTTGGTTTTTCATACCAACAAGAGAGAATTACATACATGGATGTGGTGTGAAACCTATCACTATTGTCAACCCCTTGTGTGCATGTTGTCTGTTTTGCACCAAACTACAGTATATGCTTTCTTCTCCCGGTGTAGGATGAAGATGAACAGCTTGATATACTGCCTGCACAGGGGGATGCCCCACAAGAAGCCCAACGAAAGATTACAACACCATACATGACTAAATATGAACGGGCCAGAGTGCTAGGGACAAGGGCGCTACAAATTGCGTAAGTACACTATTGATACTCTTGTCTACACATGTGGTGTAAAATATAATATGGGTGCTTACGGCCATGATAATACTTTTTTTTTTTTTTGAGTGACATGTTTTATCATTAATTCCTATGGAAAAGGACTACATGTACTTTTGCATTTTACAGAAAGTGTGTTTTTCTCCAAAAAATATTTCTGAACATGATACTTTGTTTATTTTTATTTAATTAGTTGAATACATTTGCATTTAAACTGACTATGTTTCTTTGTGATAGCATGGGAGCTCCTGTAATGGTGGAGCTAGAAGGTGAAACAGATCCACTAGAAATTGCCAGAAAAGAACTAAAGTAAGTGAAACTTTTAGATGCTAGAATACTAATGTCAGCATCAGTCAGTTTAAAATTCTATACACGAGAACAGAAAGTAAATGTTATTCCAGATAGGGTATGCTAATTTTAATGGTTGTAATTTTCCTCTTCTTTAGAGTTCGCAAGATTCCAATAATTATTCGTCGATATATGCCGGATGGAAGTCACGAGGATTGGGGAATTGATGAACTCATAATTGACGTGTATTGATGATAAAGAAGATTCAATAAACTGATTTGGGCCCAGATAAGATGACATCATCTTCATCCAGTTACTTTCACATGTCATTTAAATTCCCAGGATTTTGACCATTTCTTGATTTTAGGCATCAGTAAAGACAGAATTTCACAATTTTGAAATTCACCAACATTATCCTGTGAAATCAAAGTAATATACAGTATTATGATAACTCCAGACTGTATCCATAGAAACCATTATATAATCATATATCTCCCTTTTACAGCCACTATCTACTTTTGTTTCCTTGCATAAAAGATATTCATCACAATTTGAAACTTTTATTTCAAAATTATAGACGTCGCCATATTTGATATGATTTATCGAAAATTGCGAGTGCAATTAAAGAAAGCAACAGAAAATTTGAAAAAAATTGCCCTGATATTTTGGCTGGAAAAAAAGGTGTTGACTGTACAGTATTGAATGATTATGGGCAATTTTATTGTTGTGTATTTTATGAATATCATTGTTTTTATGAATAAATGAGTTTTCTTTAAAGACCTGTTGAGATTTGGGGTAGAAGGAATAGCACATTCATTTCTCATTACCTCCAAGACCCCCTCCCCTGACAGTGCCGGTTATCCAGGACTGGGTCTGATAGGAGGGGGATAAACTCAAAGAAGTTAGGCTTAGGGATTTACCAGGACAATTGATAGGTAGCCTTCCCTCTCCCTTGGGCCTTATGTTGTGATTTTTTGTATTAGTTCATTTACTTCTTTCATTTGCAACGAGGCATTGTAGCTGAAGTTACGGTATGTCTGTTCACTTTGAGATGTGTAGGCATTTATGTGGAGTAACATATTTCACATCTACTGTGTATTTCACAGTCTTAATAAGCTTAGGGCGACTGCTTCTTAGATTCCAACTTCAATTTAAAGAAATCATAGTTGTAATCAATGTGACAGCATAACTAGAGGGGCAGCTCCAGCTTGCCCCTCGTTTGTTACTGTTAAATTACTAATTTTCGCTGATTTACCATTTTAGGCATATTCAGTGGGTTTTATCATTTAGATAATGTGTTTGATGCTAAATTTTACATATTCACTGGGTTTTAATTTAGCGCATTTTCCAGTCAGCGAAATAAGCAAAATTAAAGCCCAGTGAATAACTAACGCCTTTACAGTACTTACACTACACGCCTGTCTCCTGTGCATCACCCTTGGGATTTTAGTCCCCGTTCGGACGAAGTCCGAAAACGGGGACTTATAATTCAGTCTCCGTCCGTCCGTCCGGAGTCGTATCTCAGAATCCCTTGGACCGATTCCGTTCATTCTTTGCATGTGCCTAGTACTTTATGTGGGACATATGCACATGCAGTGGTTTAGCGATTCGATTTAAAATGGCCGACTGGCAGCCATCTTGTTTTTTGAAAATGTTGTATTTTGGACATGCTTTGTCAGTTTTCATTCAAATTTAGTACATAGATCATACATGTTAGGATACATTTTGTACATGTCCCCGATCGTCTGTGAGTTCCTGAGTCTGTCCGTCCGACCGTCTGTCTGCGTCAGTCGATCCAACGTCATATTTCAGAATCCTGTGGACCGATTCCGTTCATTCTTTGCATGTGCCTCGTACCTTATGTGGAACATATGCACATGCAGTGGTTTAGCGATTCGATTCAAAATGGCCGACTGGCAGCCATCTTGTTTTTTGAAAATGTCGTATTTTGGACATGCTTTGTCAGTTTTCATTCAAATCTAGTACATAGATCATACATGTTAGGATACATGTTCCCGACCGTCCGTGAGTTCCTGAGTCTGTCCGACCGTCCGTGTGTCCGTGGGTCAGTCTATCCAACGTTATATTTCAGAATCCTGTGGACCGATTCCGTTCATTTTTTGCATGTGCCTAGTACCTTATGTGGGACATATGCACATGTAGTGGTTTAGCGATTCGATTCAAAATGGCCGACTGGCAGCCATCTTGTTTTTTGAAAATGATGTATTTTGGACATGCTTTGTCAGTTGTCATTCAAACTTGGTACATAGATTATAAATGTTAGGATACATGTCCATGGTGATTTATTTCACAATTGGATCAAAGATCGCTGACTGGCAGCCATCTTGTTTTTTGAAAATGTTGTATTTTGGACATGCTTTGTCAGTTTTCATTCAAATTTAGTACATAGATCATACATGTTAGGATACATTTTGTACATGTCCCCGATCGTCTGTGAGTTCCTGAGTCTGTCCGTCCGACCGTCTGTCTGCGTCAGTCGATCCAACGTCATATTTCAGAATCCTGTGGACCGATTCCGTTCATTCTTTGCATGTGCCTCGTACCTTATGTGGAACATATGCACATGCAGTGGTTTAGCGATTCGATTCAAAATGGCCGACTGGCAGCCATCTTGTTTTTTGAAAATGTCGTATTTTGGACATGCTTTGTCAGTTTTCATTCAAATCTAGTACATAGATCATACATGTTAGGATACATGTTCCCGACCGTCCGTGAGTTCCTGAGTCTGTCCGACCGTCCGTGTGTCCGTGGGTCAGTCTATCCAACGTTATATTTCAGAATCCTGTGGACCGATTCCGTTCATTCTTTGCATGTGCTTCGTACCTTATGTGGAACATATGCACATGCAGTGGTTTAGCGATTCGATTCAAAATGGCCGACTGGCAGCCATCTTGTTTTTTGAAAATGTCGTATTTTGGACATGCTTTGTCAGTTTTCATTCAAATCTAGTACATAGATCATACATGTTAGGATACATGTTCCCGACCGTCCGTGAGTTCCTGAGTCTGTCCGACCGTCCGTGTGTCCGTGGGTCAGTCTATCCAACGTTATATTTCAGAATCCTGTGGACAGATTCCGTTCATTTTTTGCATGTGCCTAGTACCTTATGTGGGACATATGCACATGTAGTGGTTTAGCGATTCGATTCAAAATGGCCGACTGGCAGCCATCTT